AGAGTCACTGTGGCACAACCGCTTTGTGTTCAATCATATGTATAAGGTGTGTCATATCCTGGTAACTCCCTCTTCAGGTACAGGTGTTGATGTGATCAGCTCTTTCTCTGTGCTTCAGCAGGATGTTAGTACTTGTTCAGTTTAAATAGTCACATGTTATTAGAGGGTTTCTTTAGTTTTTCTTAAATGAAGACTTTTCGAAGAGTCTTAATGTGCACTTTTCCATTGAACAATTTTCGTAAGTATGTGTATCAGTCTCGAAAAAGGGCCATAAATAGTAGTAATAATAATAATAGTAATCCGAATTACTTATGAGTTGTATTTCAAGTCTTTAAAGTCATACTATAGCTTGTGTGATGAACAGACTGGGATTTAAGTCAATTAAGAAATTGAAATAATCAAACATTTAAATTAAGCTAAAATAAATAATCAAAAACGTCAACTTACTAACTGAAATTGAAATAAAAGTACTGAAACACAAACTGATATGAATATGAATTATAGATAAATACATACAAATGTCATTAATAAAAAGGACAAAAGCACGTAACAAAATGACTAAAACACTCAAATTAAAATGAAAACAAAAATATGCAAATGAAAGCTAATTGAAAGTATTAATACTAGTAGTATATAATACTAAAATCGCTTCTAAAATACAAAATAGTATCTAAAATACAAATAGAGTAATACAGTGTACACAATATTTTTTTTGTGAACTATTCCTTAAACTATTCTCATAATGTGCTTCCCACTTTTTAAGTACTGTTTTTATGGCTAGAATGAATTGTGCTGAGCTGGTCTCTGCTGTAATGGCCTTTAATCAAGGAAAGGTCCTCACTCAGCATGTCTGATGTACAAAGAAAGAAAGGTAGCTAGTTAAACTACATATGAGTGATTAAGTGTATCAACAGGGCTTCAGCTAAATGAGCAAAAGGGCCATAGTATCCTCAGGGCCCGACATATGCTGGTGTCTGACAACCTTCATTATTTACTTTCATTGTAAATGGTGACTATATGATTGTCTGTCTTATATTTCCACTTTCCCTCCACCCCTCTAGATGGCGTCGACCAATGATACCCGTCATCAGACGCAGGTGCAGAAGGATGTAGCCGATCAGAATTTTGACTACATGTTCAAGCTCCTCATCATTGGTAACAGCAGCGTTGGAAAAACTAGTTTTCTGTTCCGTTACGCTGACAAAAGAGGATCTGCCAATGGTATGTCAGCATGATTAGTGATATCTTGGTCAAGATAATCTAGGTGAGGTGTGTGCCAGCAATGATGGTTAATGTTACAAAACATCCAGAATTACCCAAAGCAGATGGCCCCATCATTTGATGCATTATGCGTGGAGCGTGCACACACACACACACAGGGCCAAATCCATTTTGAGGGAACCTTTAGAAAACGAAAGCCATAAAATCTAATTAGTTGTGCTTTTTGACCGTCCAGACCAGCATGCATCTGCCTTCTGCTCTAAATCACTAATTGAATCAATACCAAGACAGGAAGTGGGTCCGAATATCAACTACCCACTGCCCAGTCCTGCCAAGAAATTATTTATGATCCAGTTATAGTCCAGAGTGTAGTTCTAAGTGAAATATACAGTTACATTCTGTAAATTCTGACGCTGTAATTTTAGTTGTTATTGTTGTGCGCCAGTTCGCAGCCGCAGACTTCCTCGACAGAGGAAGCGACAGCACTTTCTGTTGATAAAAGGAAGTGGGTGAGAACGCCTCAGAGGTGATGAGTAGCATTTTCCCAGAATGCACTTGTGTGCCCACCATAGAACAACTCCGCTCTGCCTGCAGTGGTCTAAGATTGGCGAGAATAGAGCTTATAAAATTAGATTTTTACATACAAAACTAGTTTTGTTTGGCACCAGGACAGTGGTTGTTATGATATTTGGGATGTTTTTGGCACATTGTAATGTGGTTGCCTAGGGTGTTCTAGGCAGTTGCTAGGGGGTTGTTTGATGGCCCAAGTCAATAGAGTCCACCATCAATCTATAAGATATTCAGCTTTCTTGAGTATTTGTTATTATTATTTTTTCATCCACGAAGTGAAAATTGTATGTTAGATTGATTAATAAAGCTGCAGAAAAATGGCATCATGTCAAGTCTGATGGCTGGTGATGGCACAGTCCCAATTGCAGTGGCGGCTCGTCGGGGGAGGCACAGCTTCCCCATAATTTTGAGGTGAAAATGGGAGGAGGATTAGGATTTAATGCTAATACAATTCACAATTCATTTCAGTTCATGTCTCAGAATGTGTATTGTTTGTTTGTAATTTCACAGCTGTAATACCATAACGTGAAAGTGCTGCTTTTCTATCGCAAATGTGCCGAATCTTTTGATGTAATTGCAACTGCTAATGATAGAGAAGGGTAGGGGGAGGCCGGGTGAGCGCTGAGCTCTCGTGCCTCCGTTGGTAAAAAAAAATGAGCTAATCACCATCGAGTGTTCACTTTCAGCGCTGAGGAGTGTTGAGAAAAGAACCCTTGCAAGGGAGGCTAGCCTCCAATAATAATAATAATAATAATAATCGGCAGGGATCCCAGACCAAAACCTCTGCCTCCCTACCTCCTACCCACGAGCCGCCACTGCCCAATTGTTATATCATATTACATTGATGCTTTATAATACATTAGATCAGAGGATTCACTTCAGGATGCACATTTTACATTGGACATCAAGTGGCGACCCAATGCATGGGTGCATTTGTTTATCTATTTATTTCATTTACGGTATCAAAAATATTTACCGTACAAGTTTATTACACAAAAATTTAAATGCATTTGCAATGCATGCAAATGTGATTGACCTGAGATCCCATACTTAATGTAGTCTAAATATAGACCTTTCTTTAAAAAATTGATGCATACATTTATTTTGCTATCTTAACTACTGTATGCATGATTGTATGGTTATTTGCATTTTATTATTTGCTTTAAGCATTGCATTTGTTTCCGGCTGCACCTGTAGGGAAGCGTAGTGTAAAATCCTCTCTGATGGTGGAAAGCCACATCCCTCATTCCTACTATGGCTGTAGATTTGGTTTCGTATTCTGTAAGGTCCTCTACGGTTGTCAAGATCCAAGAGCGCAGGCCAAGCCGTGTGTGTGTGTGTGTGTGCGTGCGTGGTGTGTGTGTGTGTGGTGTATTTAAAGGGTGGGGAAGACATGGGGCCTTTTCTCTTGACTAAGTGTTTGGAGGTGTTTAGTTAATAATCAGTCATGTTTTATTGACTATATTGCTATAGCAATGAGAATGTGCAGTAGGAAGTAAACCAATGATGTTTGTGTCTCCAATACACAAGTTTGTTATTATATGTCCCACTAATAAGGTTAAAATAAGGCCTTAAAGTATTCAAATGTATTTATTAATTTTTTTATTTTTGAATAAATAGACAGTGAATGTAAATATTATGTTTAGTTAATTAATAATCATAGTTAATTAAAAAGTAAACTTTTTATTTAATTTTTTTTTTTTTTTTTACTACAATGAATTATCCATTCAAAATAATCAAATTAACAACATTCTTGTAAGGTTTTACTCTATAAGTTTATTTCAAGACCTCTTAAATGGTACAGGTGCAAATCCTCATTGTCCGCGCTTAAGGTCTTTTATAGTATATAATAGTTGATCTAATATTCTTTTGTTCCCTCAACACAAAAAAACATGGAGATTTATGGCGTCCAGTGATTTTTTATAAACACTTTGGACTATTTGGAGTATACCTTATTTGTGGAAAGTTATATGTGCATGTTCACATTTACATATTCTCTGTTTACTTAAAGGAGGAGTTCTTGATTTAAAGACAATGACGAAAGTAAATTGAGTCATTTTGCTATGAAGGAAGAGCAAATATTATACATGAACTGCTGTATTATTGACACAGTCATGGCTGTTGAAGAAAAATTTCATTGAAATTTCCTGACTGTAAGGCTTGCTTTAAGATCTTTCAGCATGTAAGATGGCAGTAGGCAGAATGTAGATATGATTCACTTGTCTTTGTTGTGAAGTTAGCTGTTGTGTGTGTGTGTGTGTGTGTGTGTGTGTGAAGGACAGGTGGCACATCGTATCTCTGTTGAAAGAAGGGGCTGAGGCTTTTGTCAAGCTCCCATTAGTTTGAATTTGTCTCTTCCCCTAAAATACAATACATGCATATATACAAGCCTCTAACAGCTGCCCAAACCAATGGTTACCTACATAGGTGAGGTCACAGCATTCTAGATCAAGTCAAGGCTTTTCAGTATCATGGAAACTAATCAAATGTTGCCTAGTTACCACATTAACATGGCTGTTTAACTCTAAACCCCTGATTCTGTTTTGTTTGCATTGCATTTACTACAGAAGTTAGGCAGATTGTCAATTATTCAAGATATATTTACATTGACTTTGCTGGCAATGTGAAATTATCCAACATTGTCAATATTGCTGTGATTTTTAAACACACGTTTTGTTTAGCCAACAGGTTTCCTAAAGATGACTAGTTTTGTGATCCCTGTAGAAGACATTATTAAATACATAATTTACCTAATCAAAAATTGTTCAAAGTCCCTTTCTAGCATTTTACGTGTTTGAAAATTAAAAATATGTGGAGGAAAATATTTACATGAAAATAGTACAGTTTGCTAAATTAATATAGTGAAAGCTGTCTAGAAAACATTATTTTAAAATAGATATGATTTCTGAATTTTACTTGCATTAAACCTTGTGAATCTGTATGTTTTTTTTATTTATTTTATTTTATAGATTTTGTTTTACATTTTTATATTACACTATTATTTTTGTTGCACTATTGTATCATTTTTTGTTGCACTTATGATGAATATAATGGTGAAATATCCCATTTATTTTAAGTCTTTCTGCATTCTACTGGAATATTAGACTCTTCTAACAAGAAATAACAGCAACGAATCATTAAGAAAAATAACTCATGAAGTTGACGATAAAAGCATAAAGCAATGAACGCTTTCAGCAAACCATAGGGTTTCTGCTGCACAGTGTTTTAGGAAAAAATGCTTTTAGATGTGTGTGTGTGTGTGTTTATTGAACTAAAAGAATACTGTCGCCTCTGGCTTGCTTAGTTGGGGACACTTCAATTTCCAGCGATATCGTTGACATAATTGCAAAGATATTATTTAAACTGAGCTGGATGTTGACATCACTGAATTCAATGATGAACTGTCTTTAACTGAAAAATTAGTGTTTACTATTGTCATTTTGCATTATTGACACTATTTTCCTAATTAATGCTGTTCAGTTGCTTTGTCACAATCTGTATTGTTAAAAGCGCTATATAAATAAAGGTGACTTGACTTGACTTGACTTGAAAAGAGACGTTGATGGCTGTATTTTCTTGTATGTTGTTCGTCAGGACACAGCAGGGCAGGAGAGGTACCGCACTATTACCACAGCGTACTACAGAGGGGCCATGGGCTTCCTGCTAATGTATGACATCACTAACCAAGAATCCTTCTACGCTGTGCAAGACTGGTGAGTTTACTTCCTTTATTTAAAGTCCTAGAGTCAGATGCTAAATCCCAAAGTAAGACATCCTGCGATGACCCCAGGTAGTGAGAATGATTGAAAGGTCAAATGTTCCTTGTTAAAGTGCCACACATTTCATAATGGTCCCAAAGGGGGCGGACACGAGCACGTTTTGAGCATGTCAGTGTTGACTGTATTCGTGTGTGTGTGTGTGTGTGTGTGTGTGTGTGTGTGTGTTCCAGGGCGACTCAGATTAAAACGTACTCATGGGACAACGCTCAGGTGATTTTGGTGGGGAACAAATGTGATCTGGAGGACGACAGACTGGTGTCCAGAGAAGACGGCCAGAGACTGGCTAATGAGCTAGGCATGTTACAGGACCATAAAAACATCATTCACACACACACACACACACACACACAAAAGCCTGTAAATGGAGACTTGAGCATGCACAGGTTCCAAACTTATCTTTTTTTGCAATCCCTGCCAAAAATATATATATATTTCTAATTGGCTATGAAATTGTATTCTGCATTATTTTTTACATAGTCATATGTGCCATATTTATAATACTTTTATGGTCCTTTCTGGTCATTTTTGAGTTTTACAGACCCAGTTGCCTTGGATTTCTGTTATATAACATTGAGTTGCATGGATATTCTTCAAAAATTCACCTTTCTGTGTTTCACATAAAAAACAGGCTTGAAAGGACATTATGGGGAGAATAAATTATTTACATTTTGGGAGAAAAATTACTTGAAAATGCTACTCTCATTCAGTGCTTGGTGAGTGCTCATTTTGGACCCTGTTCATGCTACATCACCCTCTGAATTTCCTTTGTGCTTCAGAACCTTATATGGACAAAAAAATACAGGAAGTAATGATACAGGCATTTCAAAGTACTGGGAGCAAATGTGTTGCTCAAAGGGTGTGAATGCCCAATAGATATTAGATATAATGCATCATGTAGTGTAGTATTATACTGTATGTTGTGATCGACCAATGTGGATTTTTTGATGGCTGATATAAAATGTGTGTGTGTGTGTGTGTAGGGGTGTATATATATATATATATATGATATCACACTATTCAATTTAAAGATAGCATTCATAACAATTTCTGTAATTACATTAATAGATATTTTACATAATATTTACAAAAAAATCTTTCAGCATGTAAGATGGCAGTAGGCAGAATGTAGATATGATTCACTTGTGTGTGTGTGTGTGTGTGTGTGTGAAGGTGAAGGTGAAGATAAATCAATTTGAAAAAATAATTTGATTTAAAAAAAAAAATTGAAAAACGTTTACAAATTTGTAAAATAAACAGATGACTTTATACTTATTTTAACCAAATTTTACTTTATATAGAAATAATGATTTTGTAACACAAGCTGGATTCACCAACAAGGTTCATGGGGCTTCCAGTTTTTCGAGGCCAGTGCAAAGGATAACATTAACGTCAAGCAGGTGTTTGAGCGGCTGGTTGACATCATCTGTGACAAAATGAACGAGAGCTTGGATGGAGACCCGAGCATGTTAACCAATCACAAAGGCCTGAGTCTGCAAGACACGCCCCCTGATGAACAGAGCGGCTGTGGATGTTAATGATCATCTCTCAACAAACACTCATACTTGAAGGCAAACATTCACACACATGCACTCACTCAGTCCCTCTCTCTCTTACACACATGTACACCAGAAGAGAGACTCTTTCACAAGTGTACTGCCAATGTATAGGATGAAATGCCAACCAAACAGTAAGAATATGGCATAAGCCCCTTAAAATGAATAATTTTAGTTACATAAACAGGCCCCTCAGGGATTGAATGAAATGGGATGGGTTTATCTCAGTGTGATGTGTGGCTGCCAGTACACTGAACTGTGATATCATGATGAGAACAGCCGGGAAAATACTGCATGAAACTGCAGGAATCAGAAATTCACATGCCAAAGTCTCAGCTTTTTAGGAAAGTTTCAAACTACTCCAGTGTCTGTTTACAACATGCTCAGATAAAATGCGTCTGGTTGTCATTGTGCAGTAGCTTTGAAATGTATACTGATTATTTTAATGGATGCAAGATGGATGCATGTTTTACTTCAATATAGGTGATAAAACATTTTAGGACTGCTCTGGAAGTATCCAGTCCATATGATTGTCAGTCTAGTTTTTGTTACTTGTTTCAAAGTATGTCCTTAATTCAGATTATATTTGTCCTTGCCATTTGCTTTGAACGCAATAAATTTGCTTCCCTGTGGACACTAAAGGAGTATTAATATAATGTATATATATTGTGTGTGTGTGTATTATATATTCTTTATGTAATATATGAAATATATATTTATATATTTATTTTAAAATATATATGTGTGTGTATATACTTAAATTGAACAGCTAAGACTAGTTATTATATATTTATATAATATATGAAAAATATATTTATATATTTATTTTAAAAAATACATTTTAAAAAAATGTGCGTGTGTGTGTATATATATATATATATATATATATATATATGACTGCAGCTTGTGGGAGTGGATGGTCTAAAAACAGCAAATGCATCACATAATTATTTGCCAATGATGGAAGTGCCCTGTTTGAAAATGAATGAGAGCGAGCCAAATCAGCATTAATCTCGGAGTCACCTCAGATTTATTATTATAATAGGCCCAGAAATGTATTTGGACTATTAAGCCACATGTAAAAATTATAAAATATTATTAGATACAAAACAAACCAAGTGGCATCTGAACACACACACACACACACTACCAGTCAAACGTTTTTGAACAGTAAAAATCACTTTTAAAAATAACTTTTTTTAAATATAAGTTTATCGGCATTTGTTGTTGACCTGCCTGCTCTTACTGTAAGACATTTGTTTGTGGTCATTGTGCATGGTACATTATTTCCTTTTGCATGAACCTTGTACACTTGTGAGGATGTGAGCTTTTAGCACCTCTAGAAGAACCTTGTGTAGGTGGGAAATGCACAGCATCAAAAATAAAAGCACGACCACATTCTCTAAGGGTGGATGTGGAGAGAACATTTAAGAGGAGCCAAAACATACACATCTTTGCCAGAATCACTTCTCCGCTCTGGAACTGCTTGATACCGCTGCTGATCTGTCAGGACGCATCCCACTGGTGTGAGTATGTCTTTCTGCCTGTACCAAAGTTTGGATACTATAAGGTGCAAGTTCCTCAAATGAGAGTTCCCTTGACACAAATGAAATTTCTTTGAGTGGATTTGACAGGCATAAAACGATACGCCGTTTCCGTTCAGATCAAATCACAACAACGGAGGAAACAGTTTCGGCGTGACGCGGCTGACACAGAACACCATACGCTGTTTACCTCCAGCGGATATTCTCCAAAATGGCGCTACAGGGTGACTCGGAGGAGACGAATTGTTGAATAAAGTCGTTATTTCTTTTTCTTTTGCACACAAAAAGTATTCTCGTAGCTTCGTATAATTACGGTTGAACCCCTGATGTCACATAGATTATTTTACAGATCTCCTTGCTACGTCTCTGGACTTGGGAACATTTCAGTTGTGTTGCTGTCTATGCAGGGTCAGACAGCTCTCAGATTCCATCAAAAATGTCTTAATTTGTGTTCTGAAGATGAACGAAGGTCTTACGGGTTTGAAACGACACAAGGGTGAGTAATTAATGACAGAATTTTCATTTTTGGGTGAACTATCCCTTTAAAGAAATCCAAAAATTCTGGCATAATTTACTCACATTCAAAAGAAGATATTTTGAAGAATGTTGGTAACCAAACTATTACTCCATAGTATGGAAAAAAATGACTACAAGTCGATGGCTACTGTCCGCTGTTACCAACATTCTTCAAAATATCTCTTTTTGTGCTCAACAGAAGAAAGAAACTCATAAAGGAGTAAATGATGACAGAATTAGCTTTAATACAACGTACAAAGTTTGTCTTGACACACTTTTCTAGTTTTAACTGACATCTCTTTTTACCACAGATTAAAAACAGCAACAGCATGAAGGTGACAAGATGTTTAAAGCTGGTTTCCACCTTCTACAGCTTCCTCACTGTAAGTAAATGTAATTTGGTATATAATGAGTAAGTAGCCCACTAATAGTGAATGAGCACCTCCAAATAAATGATTCACATTTTCTTTCGCTTTCACACGCTGTAGTTGAGTGGGGGCGCGACTGCAGGATTTGGTATATGGTCACAAAAAAAACATCTGAAGTGTTAAAAACTGTTAATGATACTACACTCGCCATGATCCTGTCGCTGGGGGCCCCGATGCTGATCGATACTCAATCCGCTGATTGCTCTGGGCTGCATCCTTGCTCTGATGGGCTTGATTGGCTTTTGTGGTACTTTGAAGAAAAAATATAAAATTCTCAAATTCCTTGACATAAAATGCAAAATATACTGCCTGTTTTAATTTGTCTGTTCTTTTTCACTTTCGTTTCAGTTTTCATCATTGTACTCATCATCTTCATCCTCCAGCTGATCGCTGCAGTGTTTTTCCTCCACCCAAATTCGGTGGTAAGAGCAAAATGAGATTAGTTTTCAAGGATTGCTTGCAAAATGTTATTCATTGTGGAGAACAGACTTAGGGGTTATTGCATCTAAAGTCTTCATATGTATGTATGTGTATATATATATATATATATATATATACACATACATACATATGAAGACTTTAGATGCAATAACCCCTAAGTCTGTTCTCCACAATGAATAACATTTTGCAAGCAATCCTTGAAAACTAATCTCATTTTGCTCTTACCACCGAATTTGGGTGGAGGAAAAACACTGCAGCGATCAGCTGGAGGATGAAGATGATGAGTACAATGATGAAAACTGAAACGAAAGTGAAAAAGAACAGACAAATTAAAACAGGCAGTATATTTTGCATTTTATGTCAAGGAATTTGAGAATTTTATATTTTTTCTTCAAAGTACCACAAAAGCCAATCAAGCCCATCAGAGCAAGGATGCAGCCCAGAGCAATCAGCGGATTGAGTATCGATCAGCATCGGGGCCCCCAGCGACAGGATCATGGCGAGTGTAGTATCATTAACAGTTTTTAACACTTCAGATGTTTTTTTTGTGACCATATACCAAATCCTGCAGTCGCGCCCCCACTCAACTACAGCGTGTGAAAGCGAAAGAAAATGTGAATCATTTATTTGGAGGTGCTCATTCACTATTAGTGGGCTACTTACTCATTATATACCAAATTACATTTACTTACAGTGAGGAAGCTGTAGAAGGTGGAAACCAGCTTTAAACATCTTGTCACCTTCATGCTGTTGCTGTTTTTAATCTGTGGTAAAAAGAGATGTCAGTTAAAACTAGAAAAGTGTGTCAAGACAAACTTTGTACGTTGTATTAAAGCTAATTCTGTCATCATTTACTCCTTTATGAGTTTCTTTCTTCTGTTGAGCACAAAAAGAGATATTTTGAAGAATGTTGGTAACAGCGGACAGTAGCCATCGACTTGTAGTCATTTTTTTCCATACTATGGAGTAATAGTTTGGTTACCAACATTCTTCAAAATATCTTCTTTTGAATGTGAGTAAATTATGCCAGAACTTTTGGATTTCTTTAAAGGGATAGTTCACCCAAAAATGAAAATTCTGTCATTAATTACTCACCCTTGTGTCGTTTCAAACCCGTAAGACCTTCGTTCATCTTCAGAACACAAATTAAGA